GAGGGAGGCTCCCCCTGCTCGGACGAGGGGTCTGCGGAGAGCGACGGCCCCGCGCTCCGGATCGCAGCCTGCGACGGGAGACGGGAACGCGGTGGCCGAAAGCGGCCAGCCCGGCTGGGAACGGCGCGGAGGGTGGGGAGAGCGTTCCCCTGCGTATGCAGGGGGGTTGGACTAGATGATCTCTAGAGGTCCCTTCCAACCCTAAGCATTCTATGATTCTATGATCCCCCATCCCAAACAGCAGCTCCCGTGTGTTTTACAGCATTCCGTAAATGCCGGCGTGTGGTGGCGGCAGTGTGTGCGTGTGGTGTTTAACACGCTCCTATCGGCTGGTTCTTGCTCGATGATATCAGTGTTAGATTTAAATGAGAATCTCTACAGAATAATTTGCTGTGAATGAACTGCATTCAGTAAGAACAAAATTAAGCTAAACTAATTAAAAATGTTTTTCTTGCATACTTCCAGCTTCCAATAAAATTCCCCTTAGCACAACCAAGATGGGGAGGAAATGATAAATGTTTTGCTTATTAAATATGATTAACTTGGCCTTCTCTACCGAGAAGTCGAAATACGAGTAGGTGCGCGGAGCTGTTTGAGTCAATGCTCACGCACGGCGGCTGCACCTCCCTCTCCTTGGGAAAACAGAGGCGGAGGGGGACGGAAGAGCCAAGCGTGGAAGCTCCGTGTTTGTCTTGAACCGCTTGTTCGTGACTCTGCATCTTGGGGCAATGAGTACAAACATGACTCGCTACTTAGGCCTTGATTTCTTTTTATTAATGCTGTTTTTTGCTTTCTTTTTTATTAATGCAATATTTTTAGTAAAGTCTAGCGTAACATCAATAACCAAAGGAGGAACCTTAATGTCTGCTTAATAAAGTTTACCTGAGAATTCAATTACTGTCTGTTGCTGAGGTGTTGGCAGCATTAATAATCCCATGCTGGGCATTTTCATAATTTATCATAATGACTTCTATTATGTATTACAGAAGCTTCCTCCCCCAACAATACATAATGCAAAAAAGGAGAAAATAATTGAGTTGGAAACAGATTGCAAATAGTGATAGTGCAGACTGCACGCTCGGAGGAAATGGAGTTGGCTCCGTGGTGGGGTTTAATTTGGATCCTGTTCGGGTGGTGCAGCCGGTCCCTGCGGGTGGGTCAGGAGCGGGAGCAGCGAGATCCAGCTGCTCCCAGGAGCAGTGTCCGGACGCTCCGGGCTGCTCTCCTGGAGTTTCGGGGCCCTTCCTGGGGCCATTTTCCCTACCTTTGTGGTGTTAAGCGCCGGTGAAAGGTGATGCAGGATGTAGCGGGCGGCCTCTAGATCCCCCGCGTGGGAGAGGCGGCACGGGGGGGGCGCGAGGGTGCTGCGCGGCCCGCGGGCAGCCCTTAAAGGAGGGGACGTCGGGACGAGCCACCTGGAGCGCAGGGAGAGGACAGGGAACCGCTCGGAATGGGCCCGGCTGCAGCGAGCAGCTGGGGCTGCGCTCTGTGCTCCTTTGGTGTCTGAATTTGTATGATCCTCACAGCAAGAGCCTGAATTCTGTTTCCTGCCCAACGTGACGACAGCACTAATGCCCTGAAGGCACAGCAGTGTCACCCAGCCTGCTCTTCCCTGCCTCTCCTTGTGTTTAAAGCTTCTGGGGTTCTTTGGTGTTTCTACAGGGGTTATATCTCTCTGTCTGGAGAGCTGAGTTTTCATTGTTAGATGGTTTTCATTTATATTAAAATAAATAACTGCATAAACGCTCTCTAGCTTTGTGTGGAGGTGCTGCTAGCTGGTCTGCAGCACGCCTGTTTTAATCGGGATCGCAGC